TTCTCGATTTTTTAATGAATAAAAAAGGGGGTAAATGAAGTTTAGCATGGTAAAAACATGATAACATTAAAAAATGTTAAACATTTTGCACATTCACCAATTAATGTGAAGTTACTGATCAGATCCAACGTGGTTTTAGCTGAAAAATATTAAGTTATGACACTTTTATAAGCTTACGTTCCACAGGGTCCAAACGGACCCGGGAATGCAACAGGTGTACACAGTTTGTTTTAATCCATTAGGAGGGTTGAGTCACCTTAAGCCCCCCTAGGAGGTTTGCTGAGGCCCCCTACTGGGCTCCGGTCCCTTGGAGAGCCACTGCTCTGAAGTGTAACACTGCCTCCCACAGGTCTTCCAGATAGCTGCGCATTTGGTGTACTGGGGTAAAGCCATCATTATCTACCCTCTCTGCGAGAACAACGTGTATATGCTCTCTCCCCATGCAAACATCTCCATGTGAGTATGTGCTCTCTAGAAAACCAATCGAAGCTCTTTTGCATGGTCTGTGTTAATGTACACACTGTAAAAAAATGTAACTTTAATTAAATTAATCTAATTCCTTCAAAATACCTCTCTGCAGAAATAATCGTGATTTTGTGTCTTCCTCCTCCCAGCTACTCTCCTCTGGCTGATGAGTTCGCCCTCCAATTTCCAGGTCATGACCTGCCTTCCATGTTAGCCAAGTTCTCACTTCCTGTATCTCTGTCGGAGTTCAGGAATCCACTGGACGCCCCTGTGCATGAGGTTAGTGTCGTAAGCCACAATTTTACTATCTCAGACAAACAACAAGCAGGAAGTCATTCCTTTTCAATGGAGAGTAGGAGCATTGTGAAGATTAGTACATATGCGAATGCAGAATTTTCTGATCCAATTTGAGCTTCAGATGCGTTGAAATTTGGACTTAGCGCATGCGTCTGCCCAGTCTCAGTATCAGAACTATGAGATTAGTAAATAAATTCACTAAAACGTTATTCTTTAAACTTTAAATTTCTGTAAAAATGTTATGAATAATTGTCAGAAAAAAACTATTTTATAATTAATTATATACGTTGATGAGTCCTAGAAAACCAACTATGTTTTTCTTTCAGACGTATTGACTTTAGTCAGGGTAAGACCCCACATTGAATTTTACGTGGATGAAAACAAGGCTGTGAGGGAAAAACATAGTCTTTCCAATGGCGTGTGCTTTATAAAGGCCCTAGATCGGCTATTGAATAATTACAGTCCATTGAACACGCTGTACTTCTATTCCTCAGCCTCATTTTCATTCCTGCCAAAAATTAAATATGGAGCTAACCTGACCTGAGGTCTATTGGTGGTCAGTTGTTTTGTGTGGACATGTTCATACATTCATTATTCATCAGATTTAGTCTCAATGGTCAGTAAAGGTCAAGGTTTGGGTGGGTAAAATGCAACTTTGCAGAACTTTGCACCCGTTTTGTACTGTTATGGAGGTTTTTCCGATTGTCCGTCGCACTTCACTCCCGCTAAATGTTTACTCTTTCAATTCTTGCAAAGGGAACAATACAAGTCGACACCATTGGGATTAAAAGTTTGCTAAGTAGTATCTCCTACTAAATCAAGGTGGTATTTGACTCTGGTCAAGCATATCCATAGCAGACTAGTGGGAGTGGCCTTGGACGGCAACATGCCCAGTGCATTATGGGAGTTGCACAGATTTAAAAAAACAAATTCCACCTTTTTTACTGTATAGACAGCCAAATTTTTGCCAGCAGTGAAGTACCCCTTTAAGAATTGTAGATGAAGTAACTATTGTTACCATTATGTGTGTATCTGAGCAGGCCCAGCTCATTCAGATGGTGGTATGGATGCTCCAGCACCGGCTGCTGTTTCAGATCCACACGTATGTTTATCTGCTAGTCCCGCCCACTGAGGAGGAGCCTGGTCCGCGGGAGGAGGAGCCACCCCTAGCCCCACGCGTTACAGGCCGAAGTCTGAGCACTCCCAGTGCCCTGAGCTTCGGCTCTCCCAGTATGTAACCCAGTTAACTACAACACCACAGACACTCACATGAGAGAAGAGACAAATAAATAATCAAATAAAGTCTCTCATTTTCTCTCTGCAGCAAGTAGCGATGACATGACCCTGACGAGTCCCAGTATGGAAAACTCCAGCGCTGAGCTGCAGACCGGAGGAGACTCTCCTCTCAATAAAAGAATGACGGAAACGCTTCTGGCCAGCCTGACCGAACATGAGCGGCAGGCCATACTCCGTGTCCCAGCGGCACAGAACCCAGAGGATCTGCGCTTGTTTGCCAGGTGACAGAGCGTTTTTTTTATAGCTTTTTATTTTTTATTTTTTTTTATCTCAAACGTGACTTTGTTCTGAACAGTAGGTAGTAGAGGTCTTCACGGGTCCACTTGGATCCGAAAACCCGAGGTCCGACCCGAGACCCGAGCGGGTTCGGGTCCAAAACTCCGACGAGTGTCTCGGACACGGGTCGGGTTCGGTATTAGTGGCCTCGGGTCTCGGGTAATTTAAAATAAATATGCCTTTTCCAAATGGACCCGAGAAGACCCGAAATCTTTTAAACTATGTTGGGCATTTAAGAAAATTGCAGTATTTAAAACAACTCTATGACACCGTTCTCTCACTTTTTCTAAGTGAGAGAGCGAATCCGCGCTTAACGTGCAAATGGGCTATAGGCATGAGCACGGTTGCCTCCGCATTTATTTACTCAGTTGCTCGCTCCACATAAACCAACCCCTCCCTTTGCCAAGAAGAACTATAGTGCGCCATCATGTGGATGGATGTTTGACTAAATGCAAGTATTTGAATTGTCGTTTAGCCAGGCCTGTCAATCAATTTTAAAAATACGCGACACTGTCAGAAAAGCATGGAGGCGATAACAGACATTGCGAAAAATGTCAGGTAAAACGAATGGTGGTTCTAATCATCGTATGGACCGGTAAATAACATTATGCCAAATATTATAGGACGTAATGGGTTACAGTGATGTGTGATTGACATTTTAGCACTTCAGCACGCTTACACTTGCGCGTCTATGTTAAGTGCATTTTTGAGAAACGCAGGGCTGCAGGCTGTGCACAATGTAAATGCCGTTTACGTTCGGGTCCAGTCGGGTTCTAAAGGAAATGGCGTCAGGTCGGGTCGGACTCGGGTATAGTTTTATCGGGTCTGTCTCGGGTCGGGTTTTTCTTTAAAAAAAAATAATTTATGCACGTCGGGTTCGGGTAAGTAGTGATTCGGGTCGGGTACAGTTTTTAGGACCCGAGAAGACCTCTAGTAGGTAGTACGTTTTCATAAGTTTGCACTCATTTTCATCTTTCAGAATGAATCCATTCCAATTTCTGATTCTGAAAGTTGTTTATATTGAACCCTAAACACTGCAATTCGATTCACATATTTGTTTACGTGTGCATTACATGTATTCCAAACTAAATTTCAGCACATGTGCAGCGATCAGAATCAGACCAAATGAACCGATAATGTCATCTGAGCTACAGTACCGCCAGCATAAATGTAGTTTTTTGCCTAGATGACACATCTTGCAGAACTTTTATAAGACGTAAAATGTAAATGTGTATCACGGCACTGTCACATGTATCACAGAAAATAGAGAAAATAGTCAGATTCAAGTGTTTACGTGCTTATATTTGTCCTGTTTATTGGATTATTTATGGTCTACAACACCTTTTCAATCCGATCAAGATTTAATTCGGATTGAGCTCAATCGCATCGATTGAGGTGTTTACATAAAGTCCAATCAGTCTTATTTTAAATGGATTATTTGGGTGCATATTAATGTCGATAGTGTTGTATTTCTTCAGGCTTCTGCATTACTTCAGAGGCCATCATCACCTGGAAGAGATCATGTACAATGAGAACATGCGTCGCTCGCAGCTGAAAACTTTATTCGACAAGTTTCGCAGTGTTTTAGTCATAACCAATCATGAGGACCCCATCATCTCTCTGTTCCAGTCTCCACCAGAGTAAACGGATCATTCAGCTCGCCGTGAGTCTGAGGACGGTGTGACGCGTTTGCTCATCATCAGTGGCTTAAATAACCTAATTCAGGAGCAAACTGTGTTCTGCTGCAACAAAATAATGACCTGCTCAATTTCAGAAGAGGCTTATGGAGTGAGCCTCGCATAATCTACTGTATATAACTGTGTTGACCAAAGATTTTTATGTTGTCATGATTTTAGCTCATATGTGGTTGATTTTAATAAATGATTCAGGGGTCGTGATGTGCAGTTCATCCTCGGGCAGCCATTAAATGGATCGTTTAAGGATTCCACCCAAGCATCTCCTATTTTGATATCGTTCCCTGATGTGATATTTCATCTCCTCAAGCAAACAAGACCAAAAACGCATGCCATGATGGCAATTCCAGACTATAAGACTGAAGACTCCAGTGCGGAGAACCCGAGATCGGGAAGAGAAAGAGAAAAAGGGGGTTGTAATTGCTATGAGGTGCAAATGGTTTTCCAAACATCTGTAAAATCAATGAGCACCAGGAATAACAAGACTATTTATTAAAGAAACGTTACAAAAAACAGACCTGTTCAGAAATCAAACTCCAAGGAATAGTTCAATCAAAAATAATTATTTACTCGCCCTTATGTCGTTCCAAACCTGACTTTTTTCCGTAGAAGCTTGTGATTTTTGCTGCTCTTTTTTTTGTTCTCAATACACAAAGTAAAGCTTTCAAGCTCAAGAAAAGACTAAATGATAACCATGATAGATTTGTGTGCTATATTCTCAATCGGATGGCATTGTGAGGGGAGTTAAGACAATTATTGGTGAATAAAGACGTAGAATTCAGCCTTTTGCTCACACAACATTATTATATGGCCTTATAGAGAATAGCGTTTAGAATATACCTACAGACAGTATATAGAGAATATAAAGCACAAACTCTTTGATACTTTTATGGTGCTTTTTGTCCTTTTTTTTGCGCTTGACGATCCCTGGTCACCATCTATTTTATTACGGAAAAAAGAGCAACATGGACATTCTGCTAAACTTCTCCTTTTCTGTTCTCCAAAATAACAAAAAAATATACAAGTTTAGAACAACATGAGAGTGAGTAAATGATGACAATCTCTTTAAAGAGACCGAATAACATGAAGATCTTTCAGGAAACTGTCAGTGGATCAGTGGAGGATTGTGAACGCATCTGACGGTCTGCATCTCTGTTCAGGACGCTCACACATGGGTGTCCTCTCAGGTAGAAGCGAAGCGGTTTGGTTGCCCATTCCCCATGAGACTCAACTCCGATCCGATGGGCCGACACCACCTCTCCAGCGGGAACAGTCTCTCGCTCTGGGTCCCTCTCAAGCCACACCTCGGTATCAGTGGCCAGATCCCTGCGATCGAAGCAGCGCTGTATATCTAACGCTTGGCACAACTTGGACGGGCCATTGCAGAGCTCTTTGTCCTGAAGGGTTTTGGCTCCAGCCTTGCGTTTGGCTGCTCGCAGGCCCCTCATGACGTCCTGACCGCTCAAAGGCTCCAGCGAGCGCAAAAGCACGGCCGCTCCCTCCCCTGCACACACACATAGTAGAGTAGTTAGCAAGGCTCCTCACTGTCTCCTTCCTGTTGGCTTGTGTTTCTCTGCATATGCTCCAACCTTTCTCTACGTCTATGTAATGTGCCAACTTGACCTATAATGAGAAACAGTTGGAGAGAAGCAAAACGGCATCAAAACAAAACACTTGTTTCTTGCGTAACTAGCGATGAGGGATCTGTGGTTACAGCCTTCCGGCTCCATCTCCTGTAAAGCCTTTTTCCTATGTGCGTGTGGTCAATTAGAGTGGATTTTGGAGCCTCACCTTGGCTGGAGACGTTCATGCAGAGGTAGATGCCGTAGATGGGATAGACATAGATGGTCCCAGGCTTCATGAACATTGCAGTGTTCCTCTCTGTGCGTTTTCCCCCCGCTGAGTGGGACGCCTTGTCCTCCCCACCCAAATATGCTTCGGTTTCCACAACCCTTGCTCTGAGCTCAGTGCCATCAGTTAGCTTCCTCACCAACACCTAATAAACGGAAACATAATATCCTGCAAAAACACCATCTGTACAGTCATCTTATATCCAGCAGGTGGTGCAAATGTGCCAATAAATTATAACAACTGAGACTAGGATCACATGTGCTGGCTAATGATGAGACCTAAAATCTTGTTGCTTTTTCAGTAAAGGTGGGCTGTTGTTTTTCTAAACGACTGGATCTATGATTGTTTATGATAGTTGATAAAACAGGCACACACACAAAAAAAATACATTCAAAAGTTTGGGATCAGTAAACTTTTTTGTGTGTTTTTAAAAAAGAAGTCTCTCCTGCTCACTGCAAAAAAGTAACTCACTACAGTAAAACCATAATATTGTGAAATATTATTGCAATTTAAAAAACTGTTTTCTATTTGAATATATTTTAAAATGTAATTTATTCCTGTGATCAAAGCTGTATTTTCAGCATCATTACTCCAGTCTTCAGTGTCACATTGTGTTATTAGCAATGTTGAAAACTGTTGTGCTGCTTAATATTTAAGTCAAACTTAACTTCTTTTTTTTTTCAGGATTCAGAAACTTGTGGGGGAAAAAACTGCATTTATTAAAAATAGAACTAAAATAGAATTTTTCTCTTTGACTTTTTTTTATGACAAAGCAATGTTGGTTCAGGTTGTAAAACGACTCCCCAAAAACATAATAATATTCTTCTTTTTTTTTTTTTTTACAACTTTTAGTTTGAAAAATATTTGTAAAACGTTTTTTAATGTTTAAAATGTTAAAATATATTTAAGGTGTAAGAACAATATATTACATTATATTTTTAGAGTCATGTAAACTTTATGTAAAGTTTTTCAAAACCATACATGAATACAAAGTCGACATTTCTAAGAACTTGACATTTGTGTTTTAAACTAGAAAACTAACCATCAAAGCACTAACAGATTGTGTGACACTCTAAAGTCTGTGTTCAATCAAAGTGGGTTCACTTATCCTTTGAAAGATGCTAAAAGATGCTACAGCCAGTCATGCAGGGAGGTAAAGCAAATACAAGACAGCGGTGAACGATGTTTATGCAGTGAGCGCTACAGAGTGTGAAAGCCACAAGTGTCACCTTCTCCATTCAGGCTGCAGGCTGTCACGCTGGACGAGTGCTTGGTCACACCGAGCAACCTATTATGGGTCAGACCGGATACCCTTCAACATGATAATGGCCTTTCATGCTTCTCATTACAACCCCTTATTTACACACTGGTAAACTGAAAACAAACAAAGGCATACTTTGTGCTGGTTACATCAACCTGAAACTCGGCACCGTCATGCAACGATGTGGCTAACTTTCTCGTATTAGAGTAGCCTCAATGTTTCCAGCAGCCTTCTTTCCATTTTAAACCTCATTAAAATGCAAATTAGACCTCTCTGTGTCCGGTCGAGTCTATTCTGTGCTCTGCATTCTGCATTTAACAGTCACGGTTCCATGAGGTTAAGCTGTATTTCAAGTGTTCACCGTGAGTGAATCAGTGTAGCGCAATTGACGCTGTCTGCAGTCAAGACGGAGTCATTAAAAAACTAGAAGCCAAAGTGATTCGCAATTTTATATCTAAATTACTTTCTATTTATTGTCAAAATGGGTAATTGAATATTGCAGCGTTTATTATAAATGATTTATCCGTGCACATCACAATGTTTTTAATTCAAGTGCCCTCATACTCCTTAAAACAAAATAACTTCCCCCTCCCTCTTGACATCTCTTCTCTTCACTGATGACGTGTTTACTGACAACCTGTCACTCACATGAGATCGACCAATAGCACACCACAACCATCCGTTCAATTCCCATTCCCAATGGACAAAATTAAATCCCGCCCTACATTTTTTCTTGTTCGAGAAGCCGTTTCACTCTGATATATGTCACAATAGGGAAGAAAAAACTTTCGCAACTTGTTTCATGCCGATTTGAACACATTTTATAAGCATTAATGTATTAGTTCCAACACAATTTTGTAGCATTACAGAACATTTTTCCTCCATCAATTCAGAATTGGGCTTCTGAACACTGACTCTTGCCAAGGAATGAGTATGTGCTTGGGATGTTGCTCATTTCTGGGTGTCACTCCATGATTTCATCACAGTTTCTGTGAATAATTTTTTATAGGCTTGGGGTAAATTTTTCTGTCTTTTGACAGGAGACGGCTCAGGATTACACTCTTAACACTTTCCTCCATACTCTATGATAGAAATAAGATATGAATATGATGATGCCATTTCTGACCATTTGAATGTAAAATAACTAATATTAAGTTAAACATTTAATGTGTTATGCAGGACTTAAATGCATTTTGTGTTCCATCTACATTCCAATGATATACCTAGTGCTGATAGGCTAATCAACAAGAATATATGGGTATTTCCCAGAATTCGGGCCTATTTCTGTCCACAGGGCGTAATTCTATTAAAAACAAATTAAATCTAATACATTTTAGCACCACTAATTAGTATAAACATAAACAAGCCTAGACTTTTTTTATGGCTGCTCTTACTAATGATTTTAACACATTTTATTGGTGTTTTGTGGTACAATATCTGTGTTTTGGTGTTGTCCGCCACCAGAGTTTTCACATGTCGTGCCATATCTCAAACATTATTTATCACAAATTAATTTAAAAAAAATATGCATATGAATTAAATGTTACCTGAACTAATAAACTACATGCACAGATTAAGCATATATATGCATTTTGTACTTTATTTTGCTTAATTTCTACCTGTCACAAGGTTTAGCTGTCATTACCAACATGCTCTGCATAAAGGCACTTTTTAACAGTTTTTTCATCAAAAGTTTATTTGGTAGCCATGGTAACCTAATAGCATAGTGGAGCACATGGATTTCAAGCTGCAAGACTGATGCCTTGATGTCCAGAAAATTAAGTAAATCTACTCTTTATTTTTTGTGTTGGGCATGTACTCATATTATGCGTCATTACCATATGTGTTGTATTTCTGTTTTTTTCAACATTTTTGGATTATTTTTATCACTTTAATAGTCAAAATGGTGTACATTACATGTAGAAAGCTAGCTACACTTGCTTAGTCATCATCTTTGCTAGCAAGGCTAGTTTTTTGACAAAAATGTAATTACCAGCACAGTCATTACCAGCGCATTACAGCTTGTGCTGGTAATGACATGTTGTGGTGGTGATGACGGCAGATACACACAGTTCCTGTTTGGTCTTCCATAATCAGATTAAACTATGTTTTGATGTTTAAACCGATTACTAGCTGGCGTTTTTTTGTTAGTCTGAAGTCACTTAGGCTCTTAAATTACAATAGGTTATCAGTGATTTGTCATCACCACAACAAACTGTCATTACCAGAACGGCAATGTCATCACCATCACCATACATATTTTTGCCAATAAATGATGTATAAATTACAAAAACATCCTACAATTATATATATCTGACAATGTTGGACAGTCTAAATTATCACTGTATTAAAAAAGTTTTGATATATGGCATTCACTTAAAATAAGCTTATATTCCAAGCCAGGGTAGATTGATGAATCCGAAATGTAGATACTTAAATGACTATAATTCATCTTACAAGTAAAAATCAACAATCCCATTAGGTTCAAGATAAAATAGATTCCATGTGAAACCACAAAATGTTTTAAAAGCACTGATTTATCATTTAAGTTTTTTTCTTTTTTTTTACATATATTCGATGATGTGATGGTAATGACACATTTACTTGACATAGTTTAAAAAATGGCAAAAAATCATAAATTCCCTTATCTTATGGTCTCAACCAAGCTCATAACGTTGTTCCTGACTTAAGGACTGATAATTTGATATATACCAAATTGGTATATATCAAATTTTGAAAATTAAAATCCCAAATTTGACTAATTGGTATTACCAATGGTATTACCAATTAGTCAAATTTGGGATTTTAATTTTCAAAATTGCAGCAACCCAATTTGGCCCTTAATCTCAAAAATGCCCATATATAAAAAGGTAACTAATAATATTAGAGAAGATTAGAAAAAAAATATTTTTTAATAGTTTACAAAAATAACAACAACAATGCCTGACACTTTAGGAACGTGATTTCTTGAAAGTGCAGCAGTAAGTAACCTTTTCATGTGAGGTGATTTCCTGAGATCGGACCCTTCCCTCAGCTTACCTTGCCGAGAAAGGCCTTCGCCAGATCAACGCAGGGCTGGTGGAAGAAGCTGTGACTCAGTCTGACGGGGACTTTCATTGAGAAATAAGGGCTGAGATGATGATGATGATCCGCAGTGTTCGTGTCAGACTGACTCTGTATGAGTCTCTTGGGAGGTTCACCATCTGCAGATTCTGATTGAGGTAATGATAAATTCTTTCTCTTCCGTGTCGTCATTATAAATAAATATTACAAAATATTAGGCTATATATTTTCCCCAAACCATAAGTTTATTCCAGTCTTTCTGTCTAGATCTAGATATGGAATAGCGTCATGTCGCTTTTATAGGTGATATAGCAAAACTGCAACATGTTCCTAAGTGCGGATTATTTTGAATAAATAAATAAATAAAAAACTGAGGTTTTGAGCGGGGGAAACACTGTCGCTTCTGTGTTTACTGGATGTTATGTTGAATACGGAGTTGCAGCAGCTTTAACAAATTCATTCAGTTCAGTTTCAGCAACAGCCCGGGTTTGTTTACCTTTAGCAAGCGCAAAGCATTCTGGGATACTTAAAGGGCCAGTGTCGTTTGTGTGACATTTATTTGCAGAACTGAGTTGTTGGTTTGTAGTTGTTTTGATTGATTTTCGGATGAAATAAAGTGCAATTATTTTTCCCACAAAAGTTTATCACCCATAGAAATGAGTAGAACTTTTGGTAATGATTAAAACTTTTGGTAATGATTTCTTTGAGGGTAGGGTCTATGGACAGGTAAATGTATATGGGCTTTTTCAGATATTTCGAACTAATGGACAAAATAAGCTCACGCAATTTACATTTTCCCGCCCGGAATCGACGGAAAAAATACGGAGATCAACAGCTTTCGTTTCTGCTTTGACAGCCGCAAGACGCCTCCGAACGCTGTGAATGTGTGTCAGAAATCAGGAATGGTGAGAGAACATTGTGCTTGGTATGTTTTTTGTCTTCAAACAAAACGTAGGTCTTTAGCTGACAAAGCTTGAATCCCGTCTGCCTGGCGCGTTTCCCATATGTTAAATGCATTAGGTCAGTAGGAGGAGATTAGACGGTCTTTTGTGGCAGTTCGAACACATTCGACCCCATGAGCGTTTACACTACGAAAGCAATCCGGTCGAATGCGTTTTCGACTACCTCTGGAAGTAGTCGAAAGTTTACATGCTAAAAACGTTTTAGACCCCGTTTACACCTGTATCGTTGTCCACTTGTGATCCAATCGACCAAATCACATCTTAATACCAGGTCTCAACAGGGCCATGATCTCATGGCAATTCATAACTATTTTACATTTTGGCAAATTGGTGGCTAATTTATATGAATTAATACCATCTCATTCATACATTTTCATACTATCAAATTGCGCCCCAGTGACGGGTATGATTAGATTGAAATTGATTATCAATAAAAAAAGATGTTCTTTACAGAAAGAGCTAACAGGGATGCCATATTGAGATAACCAGCTTTGTCTTAAAAGTAACCAACAACAAACTTACCTCAGACTTTGCTGTCATGTTGTTTAGAAAGAAAAAAGATGCCCCTTTCCAAATCTGCAACATTTCCACATATAGAGATATTACACACTCACAATATTGCATAATATTAGTAGATACTACTACTACTACTACTACTACTACAAAAAAGAGCGGTTCTCACGCCTGTTGATGCCAGCAAAAGAGGGTTATTTCCAGTGCCAGTAGACTGTTTAATGCACTGTTAACAATTTATTGTAATTTTACAGGAAATTCCTGGCAACTAATTGCAGTAAATTTACAGCAAGTAATATACAGGATTTTTACTGTTTACTGTTACAATAAAGTACTGTATTTATACAGCAGTGCTACATTGATTATAGTAGCATTATTACAGTAAAATGCTGTAATTTATTACAATTTACTGTACATTTACTAAGTTCCGTATTAGCCAATTAAAAACACAACGATGGTAAAAATTTACCATTGTACAATTTTTGCCACCATTATGGTGAACAGTGTTGCCTTTAGTTGGGCAATTTGACTCTAGACTTCTTATGTGAATTTATGGTCATCATACATCATTTGTTGCAAAGAAAGTCAGAAACAAAAGTGGTCTAGTGATAGGCGTATAGTTTACAACATAATAAAATACAAAAAACAACCGAAAGTGGTCATTTGTCATTAATACATTTTTTTATACAGATCAGACATCAAGCTGATATTTTTTCTAAAATTGGGAATGTAATATTTGGGCAGACACACAGACATCAAGAATCTACATATGAATCTCAACAACGGTGACATGCTTTATGCCGCAATGCATTCTGGGAGGCTACATAGTTTAAAACTCCCAGCATGCATTGTAGCATGAAGCATGTCACCATTGTTGAGATTCATATGGTGATTCTTGATGTCTGTTTGTTTCTAAAAAAAAATTATAATGATTTTTTTTTTTTTTAAATCAAAAAATGTATACAAAAATACCCTGTGTCAAGTAAGGTCAAAGTTATTTATTAATAACAAATTACAACTTTTGGTCAGGGTTCAGGATAAGATTAGTGATTCATTCTCCTTTTTTGATAATGAAAACTATAACACCTGAACACCTTTGGTTTTGTTTTCCTATGTAACAAATTATGTGCTTTGGTAAACACTGTTACAAAGACCAAAAGTTAACTTAAAATGCTAAGAGTCAAACTGCCCAACTAAAGTAAACACTGATCACCATAATGGTGAGCAAACCTTTTAAAACATCGACATCTAACCTCCGTTCATAGACTTATGACTGAATTAAAGTCAGTCTGGTTAGTAATAAGTGAAGCTGGTAATGCTGTTTGTGGAGTTGTTTAATCCTCCTCTGCTGAGATCTTCAGAGATTTAATGTCTTCTTTTTATCTTTATCTGATTTTAAGGCTGTGACTGGATATCCATAGACTTATAAAATAGATTTCATGGTAATGTTTCATACCTGATTCTTCCTAAAATGTTTGATTCTGGTACCGTTGGCAGCCGCCGGGCAATTTCAAAATTCAAACAGCAGCAATCCCACAATGCTATGCGGTGGCTGTAAAGTAATGCTTCTACAGTGTAGTTACAATAAAATTACAGGACTGTCCATACATTTCCCATCATGCATTTGCATTTACAATAAAAACATGAATACAATATGTTGTTGTAAAATTTATTGTAAAAATTACATCAATTGCTAACAGTGTGGCCTGTAAGTCGTCTATCAATGATAACTCAAAGAAATAACAATAAACTGATATTATATTCCTGAAACACTATTGCAAAATAGTTGTGGTTTAGTATATTCATTCTTTTAAAATACCTTTCATACTCTCCATTCCCCGAGAGTGCTTGTGGTAAGAAAAGGCTCAGAAACATCTGACGGAGAACCACACCGATCAGATTTTACGGTTCACTTTAAGGTTAGATGTAGGGTTAGGCTTCATAGGTTGAACAACGTTATTTATATCAACCATTCTTTTTCCTCTGGTTTTCGGGAAACCATGATTTGGACTATAATTGTTTGTCAAATATAGTGCAGACCGGATTATTTCGGTGTGTTTTTTATGGCTCAGATATCAGATGTATATTACCTATAAGTCATTTTCTAAAACATTACACAGCAAATGTTCAAAGTTGGCCTGACTTTAAACGGACAGCGTGACACACAGTGGCTTTAATGGGACTTACAGATTCAGGCTTTAACGGAGCCACTCTCTACGGTTTCAGCATGTCTGTCATCAGTAGCAGCAGGCCGACTCCTGAACACCTGGCTGATCGCCTGTGGACGCTCCCAGAGGACACGACCACCAGCTGTAAAGTTCAGTGAGACTGAAGAACAGACGACAGGATGGACAAAAGCCTGTCCCAGGCCTCCCATCTGACTCCTCTGAAGCCCGTCCAAAGTCTTTGAAGTGCTTGCAATATGTTACTGTGCTTAGGTGAGTTAAAGTAGAGTGTAGGGCAAAGGCAAAATTGGGCTTAGGGATTTTTCAAAACCTTTGTCCCCAAGTATTAAGGCCCGTTCACACCAAGACCGATAACTATTGCATCTACACCAGCGGATGATAACACTCTGTTTCACGAGTTCACACTTACAAATCTTCAGATAGAGTAAAGAGTATGTGTATTTGGCGTGCTGTCCGAAGACAGGACTCCGAGCTCGCTATTTTGGCCCAAACCCAAAGTGCTCCCCCCGTATTCCTGGCTGTGGTAGTAACAAGCTAGTGAGAAGTCGGGCTGGTGGAGGGATACAGAAAACGCAGATGAGTCGACTGCGTATATATATATATATATATATATATAGGCCTCCTCCCATGCTGATTGGATAGACGTCTTAATTGCTTATTGGAATGACGTGTTGATTGGATAGCATTTTTGTCAAAAGTAGCCTAACGACTTACACAGATACACACAGGAGCGTTTGAAAGCAGGCGTCTATCAGCGGATCCTTAATATATCCACTGATAGACGGATCCGCTGATAGACGCCTGCTTGTGTAAGCGCTCGAAAGGCTAAAGGCTAAAGGTTTGACTGAAATGCTTGTATTGAAATAATTAATATTTTCCCAATGATGAAACTGCTAGGTGTTACATTTTGGGAGAGACAACCACTGAAGAAGCCGTGTTTATAAATGGGTTAAATTCAATTTGCATAACAGTGACTGTAAAATATGTATTTTAGGTATGGGAATGGCATATTTTGAGTTCTGATATTTGAGATATGGTCATTGCGCTACTTTTGATTGGCCATATTGAGCTAGTTTTGTTACGCAGACCTGGCAACACTGCTTGACTGTCAATGTTTTTATAGTTCATCAGCAGGAAAAAAATCTTTTTGAAAGTGATTTCAAATTTCCAACACTATCGTTCCTCTGAGTCGTTTATAGCCGTGGTGTGGACTCTTTTATTCTTTTACATTTAGAACGATTTTTATAACTACATCTATCGTTGTAGGTATCGTCCTTGTTTTGTACGGGTCTTTACTCTCTTAAGCCTCTGAGATCTGCTTGCTCACACATTGCTGCTCTGATATGCAATGGTAGCAGAAATAGAAAGGGGGCACACTGTTGGCTGCCAATGTGTAAATCAATATGTTTAAGTAACTCAAGAATGCCATAAACATTCCAAGGTGAAATATGCTCATGGCTCATTTTTATGGTGCAGTTTAGTAACCAGCTGCACCTCCAAGATCTTCCACAAGATTGTGTTTTGCACTACAATCTTCTTCATAATGATTCTGCGTAAAGTTTTTAACTCAGCTTTGTAAGTTTGGAATCACTGAAATGTTTTAGTTTTTGAAGAGTATTTATTTTACTATTTTTATTTTTATTCACCAATGATGTATTCAGCCACGCAGAGCTTATGCATT